AAAAAAAAAAAAGTGTCGCCGTCGCCCAACCTCAAGCTCCATTTTCATTTCCTCGTTAGTTAGCATAAAATAAAAAATTAAATTGTTCAGTAGTCTGTAATCTCCTCCAGTTTGTAGTCTAGGGTTAGGTTAAAGGTTTAATCTTTGCTCCACCCAACGACAGATTTCGTCAATAAGCTGCTTGAGGAATCGACAGCTTTGCAGCAGCAGAGTTCTCCAGGGTAAGTTTCATGGTTAATTGCTGATAATAGTTGATATATTATATGAAATTTCCACTCTTTTTGAATATGAACAAAATTTCTGCAATTTTGATTCTGCCCTTTTGTTCATCATTTTTTTTTTTCTCTTTAATTTTAGTGTTTGAAGTCATTTTCCAGTTTATCTGTTCCTGCTGGCATTTTAAGAAAAAGCCAACTCTGTTCTTGGTCAATTAGACTCTGTATGAAAGAAGGCTATTTTTTGCTTCTTAGATTAAAGGTTAGTGTGGGTTCTGAATTTTGTGGTAATCTGATGTCTAATACATTCATTGTAATGAATAATTTCTGTTCTTCTTCTCAGTTGCGGTATGGTTCATTAATATCCCCACTTAGGCACATTATAGATGGAGGCTGTTTTACCTCTGGTTTGAGTGGGGATAAGTTGAGGAACTGTCTATAGCATTGGGAAGATAAAAATGATGCCTCAATTGGTGTCATACAGGCAACAAACATGGATGCTGAAGTGGTAGACATAGGATCAGAAAAAGGGGATAATCCTGTGGCAGTTAAAGCTGACCCCAATAAGGCTGATAAACGAAATGTGACTGGAACCTCAACACCATTTGAGATAGTTAGCCAATATGATGGTGGTGGAGCTAAACCACAAGTGGGCATGGAATTTGAGTCTGAAGATGCAGCCAAGACTTTCTATGATACATATGCTAGAAATGTTGGTTTTAGCACTGATGTGGGGCAGTTCACCCGTACTAAACCTGATGGGCCAATTGTGACTTGGGAATTTTCATGTTCTAGGGAGGTTCTCCTGAGAAAGAATGTTGAAACCTGCAATGCCATGCTTAGAATAGAGAGGAAGGACTCAGAAAAGTGGATTGTAACGAAATTTGTTAAGGACCATAACCATTCTATGGTCACTCCTAGTAAGGTCCACTACCTTTGTCCACGTAGGCAAGGACCAGAAGAAGGGGATAATCCTGTGGCAGTTAATGCTGAGCCCAAGAAGGCTGATAATAGGAATGTGACTGGAAATTCAACACCACTTGAGATGGTTAAACATTTTGACAGTGGGGAATCTAAACCACAAGTGGGTATGGAATTCGAGTCTGAAGATGCAGCCAAGACTTTTTACAACGCATATGCAAGAAATGTGGGTTTTAGCACCCATGTTGGGCAGTTCACTCGTACTAAGCCTGATGGGCCAATTATAACTTGGGATTTTTCATGTTCCAGGGAGGTTCTCAGGAGGAAAAATGTTGAAATCTGCAATGCCATGCTTAGAATAGAGAGGAAGGACACAGAAATGTGGATTGTAACGAAATTTGTTGAGGACCACAACCATTCTATGGTCACTCCTAGTAAGGTCCACTACCTTCGTCCTCGAAGGCATTTTGCTGCAGCCACAAAGAATGTTCCTGAAACTTTGGATGCAACTGGTGATGTGTATGTTTCAATGGAGGGAAACAATGTTTCCTATGAACCAAATCGTGTTAGGAGTGTGTCCCCTGTTAAACCTAATCACCCTGTTAGGAATATTGGGCCTGCAAATTATGTCAGAGCTCCTGGCCAAAAGAGAACCCTTGGCAGAGGTGCTCAAAATCTTCTAAGCTATTTCAAGAAGATGCAAGCTGAAAACCCTGGCTTCTTTTATGCAATACAGCTTGATGAAGATAATCGGATGACTAATGTTTTCTGGGCTGGTGCAAGATCAAGGATGGCTTACAATTACTTTGGAGATGCAGTTATTTTTGACACCATGTATAGACCAAACCAGTATCAGGTTCCATTTGCTCCATTCACTGGTGTAAATCATCATGGTCAGATGGTGTTGTTTGGTTGTGCTTTACTACTAGATGAGTCAGAGTCTTCCTTTACATGGTTGTTTAGTACATGGCTATCTGCAATGAATGATAGGCCTCCTGTTTCATTTACCACAGATCAAGATAGAGCCATTCAAGCAGCAGTAGCACAGGTGTTTCCAGAAACTCGCCACTGCATTTGCAAGTGGCACATCCTGAGAGAAGGCCAAGAAAGGTTGGCACATATATACCTTGCTCATCCTTCATTTTATGGTGAGCTGTATACCTGCATAAACTTTTCAGAGACAATTGAAGATTTTGAATCATCATGGTGCTCTCTCCTTGATAAGTATGATCTCCAAAAGAATGAGTGGCTTCAGGCAGTGTACAATGCACGTAAACAGTGGGCTCCAGTTTATTTTCGCGGTACTTTCTTTGCTGCACTTTCTTCAAATCAAGGAATTAGCTCCTTTTTTGATGGGTATGTGAATCAACAAACTACCATACCATTGTTTTTCAAGCAATATGAAAGGGCTTTAGAACATTCTCTAGAAAAGGAAATAGAAGCCGATTATGATACAACATGCACCACACCCGTATTGAAGACACCATCACCAATGGAACAACAGGCAGCAAACCTCTATACCAAGAAAGTTTTTGCAAAGTTTCAGGAGGAACTAGTTGAAACTTTTGTGTATACTGCAAACAAGATTGAGGATGATGGGTTAGTCAGTAAGTACAGGGTTGCAAAATATGAGCATGACCACAAGGCATACATAGTCATGTTGAATGTTTCGGAGATGAAGGCCAGTTGTAGCTGCCAAATGTTTGAATATTCAGGCATTCTTTGTAGACACATATTGACTGTCTTCACCGTGACAAATGTCCTTACCCTCCCACCCCACTATCTATTGAAGCGGTGGACAAGGAATGCCAAATCTTGGGTTGGATTAGATGAGGAAAAAACAGGCACTCACGGTATTGAGACTCTAACCATGCGCTTCAATAGCTTATGCCAGGAAGCCATTAAATATGCTGAAGAAGGGGCAATTGCTGATGAAACATATACTGCTGCCATCAGTGCTCTTAGAGAGGCTGGGAAAAAGATTGCTGCTTTGAAGAAGAATGTAGCTAAAGTCACGCCAAGCCCTCAGGGTAGTGGACATGGCCACAAAGATGGTAACAAGAAAACACCTCCACCAATCTCTGAAATGGTTCCATCCTTGTGGCCATGGCAAGATTCAGTGCCACACCGCTTTAATCTTAATGATGTTGGTGTTCCTGTTTCTGATCTGAATCAACATAACATGGGTCCTGTGTCTATTCAACGTGATGATGATCATCCTGATAGCACTGTAAGAAACAGATAGAATTTTCTATTTACCCTTTATTATAATAAAAGTTTTTAGGGATGCCTTGGTATTTTGACTTTATAATTATCTTTCCTTGTGGTGTAGGTGGTTCTTACTTATTTTAAGTCCATGACTTGGGTCATAGAAAATAATAGTGCAACTCCATCTGGTAAAGTAGCTGTTATAAACTTGAAGGTAGTAATTGCCCCCTTTTCTTTTGAAAGTTGATTTTTTTCAACTTTGTCTCTTTGCACTGTCCAGCATTGATAGTTGATAGGTCCTGTGTATTATGTTCTATACTTTGACAATTCCCTCTAGTCTCTACCATACCAGATTTCTCTGAAGAGAAATGTAAAGGATATTATTTATGTCATTGTATTTACCTCAGTTTTCTAAATAAATCAAACAAGCATTTGATGATTGTGATTTCTTTACCTTTTTCCTTCTCCTTTGCTGTAGCTTCAAGACTATGGCAAGAATCCTTCAGGAGAGACAGAGGTTCAATTTAGGGTAACCAAGGTCACACTAGAGCCTATGCTAAGATCAATGGCCCACATTAGTCAGCAGCTCTCAACACCCACCAACAGAGTCGCTGTCATAAATCTGAAGGTGTGGGAAGATGAAATATTGCTCTTTTGTTCTTTCTTCCCCTTTATTTATAATTGAAGCATTAAACTACTGATTTCCATGAAGATCAACTCAGCAAGTTGCGTAGACTTTTGTACCATATATTCTTTAACTTAAAAGAGTGAGCCTAGAGATTGCCTGAAACTGGAGGCACTGAGCCTCTAGTTTTTTGCTTTAATTTTTTTTTTTCTTTACTTATCCTGTATGGCAATAAAGACTGTTACTTTTAACCCATTACTTTTATGTTTTTACAGCTTCAAGATACAACGACAACTTCTGGAGAAACACAAGTGAAATTTCAAGTATCAAGAGATACATTGGGTTCTATGTTGAGATCAATGACCTACATCCGCGAGCAACTTTGATAGTTGTAAGCAATGTCGTCCTTTGTGAAATAATTGTTTAGTGTCACCATAATTCTATAAATTGCCACACCCTATAATCTATTTGTTCTCGTTTCTGAGTTATTAAACGCCTAATTCTGATGGTGGTTCTTTATTGCAAGAGGTATGTTTATGCCAGGGATTACATTAGCAGACTGTAGCCTCAGAACCATACCAGAGCTATCCATATGTGGAAACTTGCAACACAATAGCCATTGCAGGTTGGCAGCAATCGGTCTATTTCTTGTATAAAATGTTGAGTGTTGGATTGATAGATTCTGGGTAGTTTGTAGTTAGGTAAATATCATTCTTGTTTCTAACTTCTAGATAAATACATGAGTGCTATTTATTGGGAGCTGATTTGTAAATGTAAGCTGTGAAAGCTCAGGTCCTCATTCAATGAGCATTGTAAATATTCTGTATTTTTCAGCCTCTTCAGCCTAACGCTTGACCTGGTTGCCTTCATTTGATTAATTAATACACCCACCACCTTCCTATTGGAGGCACAAATCCCAAACTTTAGGGAAGGTCATATTTTTGTTAGATGTCTTCAATCACCATTTTACCTTTTGAAAAAAAACTTCAATCACCAAATGACACAACACCCTTATTTAATGTGGTATGTCATTATCATTGGTATTAAATGTGGGACGACTTTAACTATTGATTTATTTATTTTATAATTTGGATGTGCAAATTCTTCTCGAAATAATAATTTATATTTTAAAATTTATTAATTTAAAAGAAGTTTCACTAGCAGTCTTATTTTTTATTTTATTAAAGCAAGCTTAATAAGGGAATAGAAATGGTTGATTCCTCGTAATGAAGAATTATAATTAATTATAAGTAATTGATTTTTAACAACATATCAAATTAAAATTAACTCGTTATGTATATATATATATATTTTTTTAAAAAGAAGGCAATGGAAACTTCGTTATATGATT